TGTTTTGGATTATTCTACATGTATACTTGTGTTTTTATTTTTCTTCTTTATATTCTTCACAGGCTAAAATTTTAGTAAGAACACAACAAATGTAAGGTGTTTATTGTATTTTCATTAATATTTGTGAGGATTGTGCAAATATTTATGGGAGTGGGAAGTTTGGTTTTAGCTAATTCGGCATACAAGTCGAAATGTGGGTTTTGGTTTAAGCGACATTCTAATAAAATATGGTTTAAGCCTCCCACTTGGCCACATTCGCAATAAGGATCATCTTTAACTCCAATTCTAAATAGATGAAGAGGGGATGAGCAATGACCTGTTCTCATACGGATGATTGTAGTTAAATGTCTCCTACTGATATATGCGAATTTATTGAACCATGGTAGTGTGTGGATTCGGTTATTAATTTTGACATAGAATTGAATGAATTACTTGTGCCATATCCTTCGTACCATTCAGCTGCCCAGTTAGACCAAATCTCTCTTTTTAAGTAGGGTGTAAAATTTGAAAACTGTAGAATTTATTACCCTTATACTTGGTTCTAGGGTTCTAAATATTGCAAGTTTTTAGCAACTAAAGGTATAGGAAAATTAATTAATCACAATAAACAGTAGAATTTTTTATTAATATACATAAATTAAATAACTATAATTATTAATACACCCTGTACAAAAATGTTAGTACAGAGAGTCACATTTTTGAAACATTTCAAAAAATACTTACAAAAGTTAATACACCATCACAGACCAAATGTTTTCTCGTTTAGGGAGATATCTTTAAAAATAAAACAAATGTAACAAACTAGTCTAGCTGGCACAAAAGCTTAGGCCTCATTTAAGCCTTTACAGGCTAACAAATTAAAAACTATGAATTTTAACAGCAACGGATAAGTCTACCGAAAGTACAAGCTGATTATAGCTGCAAATGTCAAACATGGAACAAAAAATTTCGGTATAGCAGTGCATGTTTTTATAATGTAGATGCTGTATGCTTCAAATATAAAAAGATAGAGCTTTAGAAAAGTACATTTTGTTTATATTATGTTATGAATTCTGCAATTTTTGATTTAAATAAAACAACAATGAGTAAATATTTGTTTTTTTTGGAGATTAATTGCAGTTAATTATTATAAATTTTTTTAGCAATTACCCTTTGATAGATTAGGGAATAGATTTGGCAATTGTCAAATCAGCAGTTGCCAGATTACAATAGATGTTTGCAATTAATCTCGAAAGAGACAAATATTTACTCGTTATTGTACAAAATGTACTTTTTAAAAGCTTTATCTCTTTATATTTGAAGCATACAACATATGCATTATAAAAACATGCCAACACTGCCAAACCGAAATATTTTTGACATTTGAGGCTATATTCAGCTTGTACTTTCGGTAAACTCAACCCAGCAACGTAACCTTATATAACACAAATAAGTACAATGAGTGATTCATTCGTTAATGGAAGGTATTGCTGATTTGTGCAGTAATGGATGTTTTTAATTATCCAAACTTACGTAGCAACGTTCACTGCTAATGGGATATGTAAATTTTACAAGATAGTCTCAGTTAAAGCTGTCATAAAAGGTCAAGGTCGAGATACCAACACAAAAGAACTAAGTACAAAATGATTAAACTCTCAAATAGAAGAATTTAAATATTAATAAAATAAATACACTGGAATCAAATTCTAAAACCAAATATCAATAATGATACAGATTTATAAAAGACATATATTTAATTAAAAATACCCTTTCGGGCTATATCACATAATGTTTTTGGAATAATAAGTACAGCACCAGTGCATTTGTGGGTTCCTGACCCTGAGCCGATGTGTCTGTATGGGCTCTAGATGGCAACTTGTTTGGCAACAACAAACAATTTGCTTGATCTCGAATTTGAAGATTGCCTGAAGCAAGACAACTTGTTGCCAAACAAGTTTCCATCTAGGTCCCATACAGAGACATCAGCTCAGGGTCAGCAACCCTCAAATTGGTAGTCTTACGTTGCCATGCAGGGTATCTTTTAAAATTTTTAACATCATACCAAATATGTAATAAATAACAAATTTTTACCACTTTAAGGGTTTTTACCTACATATGTAGTGGCTTTACACATATATACCTGGTAAATGAACTGATGACAACAAATGAAGTGAAAATATCTATAGAAAAACTAAGGAACCACAAATCCCCAGGCAACGATGGCATCCCAGCAGAGTTATTTAAGCACGGTGGAGAGCAGCTCACCAAGGTGATGCGAGAAATTGTTTGTAAAATTTGGTCTGAGGAGCAAATGCCTGAAGAATGGAGCGTGGGCTTAATTTGCCCGTTACACAAAAAGGGAAATCAACTGGAATGCAATAATTACCACGGAATAACTCTCCTAAATATAGCATACAAGACATTGTCAAACATTTTGTACAAGAGATTGAAGCCTTATACCGAAACGTTTCTAGGAGAATATCAGGCAGGATTCAGACGTAGACGTTCAACCATTACCCAGATCTTTACACTATGACAGATCCTCGAAATGGCGCAAGAGTTTAACATAGATATGTATCATATTTTTGTCGATTTTAATGCGGCATATATGAGTTAGGAATTCCAAAAAAACTCATATGTTTGATAAAAGTGACAATGGCGAAGATGCTATCAGCAGTAAAAATTCAAAACGACTCGTCAACCCCATTTGAAATACATAGGAGGTTAAGGCAGGGAGATGCGCTGGCGTGTCAGCTTTTTAATGTCGCCTTAGAAAAAGTTGTATGAGACGCTAATTTAGATAGCAGGGCGTGAACTGCGGAAATTCTAACCGAGCTAGTAGCAGCAGCAGAACGAATTGGGTTACATATAAATCAAAATAAAACCAAATTCATGGCGACTAACACAAACACAAGAGCTGGAAATGTTTGACGCAGATTTAATCATCAATGACCAAAACTTCGAAGCAGTCAAAGAGTTCATATATCTAGGGACATCGGTTAACCCAATAATAACACATCTGAAGAATTAAAAAGGCGAAAAATAATTGCAAACAGGTGTTATCATGGTCTATCAAAGTTCTTAGCTAACAAACGTCTGTCTCAAAAACCTCGTATAAGGCTGTATAGAACACTGATAGTCCCCGTTCTCACATATGGATCAGAGGCATGGACGTTAACTAAAACAGATGAATCCGCTCTATCGATTTTTGAAAGAAAGGTCTCACAGAACGGTCTGTGAGAACGGATTATGGAGGCGTAGATATAATTTTAAACTGCAGAATATCTACAAGCTACGTTTGGTGGTAGAGATATTAGCACTATAATTAAGTGAAACCTCCTGCAGTGGGCAGGACGTGTAGCCCGGACCATTGAATCGGACATGATTCTAACAGCGCAACCCGTGAGAATGAGAAGACGGGGTAGACCAAAGCTGAGGTGGATGGATGGGGTAACACAAGATGCCGAGAAGATCGGAGTCGGCAACTGGAAAATGCAATCAACGGACAGAACAGAATGGCTTAGAAAGGTTGAGAAGGTCGAGGCGCTCTAAGGGCTGTAGCACCAAGATGATGAAATGCACTGATGCACGGACTGATGGTCCGAAAACGTTCTGTGATGTAGCCCGAAAGGGCCTTTTAATTATATATATTTTATTAAGATCTTTAAATAAAACTTTTGTGATTTATGGTATACAGCCAACTACAGGAATTTAAGTTTCCTTGTGGATAAATATTTAGTACTACAAAATATTATAGTACCTACTTAAGAAATTAGGAAGGAACTGATAAACCGTAAATATGTCAAAATTAGTACTTTATGTAATATTACAAACATGAGCTTATGATGTTACATCAATACATTTGCCACTATGACAGAAGTAATTAAGATAAACATGTATTACCGATACCAGTAACAGGAAATTAACCAAAGTTGTCTTGTTATGACAAATTCTACTATTAACATTTTAACAATTACTGCCGTTCACATAATTTTACTGATCAACAAAAAAAGTATCCATAAATCATAAGACACTTTAAATTTCAAGACAAAAACAGAACGAGTTGCTTCTTATAATCTATTATACTCCATTCCACGAATATACGACTGTTTTAAATTCGCTTTAAGGTGTCGATTCAATTGGTCCAATGTACTGAATTGTACAATAGTAAATTCTCCCCATTTTTAAAATACTGTTACGACAGATATAAACCTTAGATGTAAATATGAAGTCATGATATAAATATAAAGTTAATAGTTTATAAAACAGTTGTAATTCAGATTTTGAAGTACATAAATACTATCATGGAGTTTATTTTTTCATTTTAATCATTTCATTGTAAACAAGTTGGTTTTTGAATTATTTTTCTGGTTTGTGAACCATCGTTCTGCCAATTTCTTTTCATTTATATTAAAAATAGTATATTTCTTTTTATTACAGTTATAACACCTAATAAAGTAATAAAATGTGTTATATCAAAGAAACCCGGCACGCCTCTTTGGTGTTTACATTTCACGGAAAGCTTACCCAAATGTCTGATGAACACATTTGGCTTCATAGACATTATTGTATTTATTTGTAGATTTTAACTGAAATAATTTTAGTTTAGATGTCATACTAGTAGACCCTTTTTATTGGAATAATGATTAGACCAATTGACCTTCATACTTCTACTTGCACAGTAAAATATTAGTTGTCGCAGTAAACCAAAACAGTCGTATATTCGTGGAATAGCCTATATCTGTTATTCGCTAGTTAGGGACACATTATTTTGAATACTAAATATTGAATTAGTGTTAGGAAAGTATAAACGTATCACCAACAACCAGTCTTGTATATTCTTTGAAATGTGTCAATAAAATAAAAACATTAATACATGTCACGTTGCTATTTAAATGTTATTTTTTTCACCAACATCACTAACAGTCTGTGGTCTATAAGACTAGATATCTCATCATAGTTTCTTCCAAACATCTATTGCAGACACCCCATGGGATCTATTTCAACTTGTAAAATCCTTATTAAAAGGAATCTTTGCATGGAGGTAGTAGAAAATCTTTACTTTTCACATGCGTAGACTGGAAGGTTGAATTTTCAGGTAGTAGTGTAGTTGATCTGTTGTGTCTTAGATGACTTCTGACGAGATGACCAGCAGCCAAGGCTGCCATCAGGGAAAGTTCTCCAGCCAGTACTAGACCGCAAACTATTCTCGCCAGTTGGTTGGCATTTTCTCCAGGACTTTCTGAATTTGCTCCTTTTACGCCCAACATTTCAAGACAAGCTGCTTGAGGTGGGAGGACTGTACCTCCTCCAACGGTTCCTATCTCAATAGAAGGCATCGTGCACGATATGTAGAGATCCTCCCCATTTGAACCCCATGGTTCCATCAAGGTCATACAGTTGCTGCTACTTACGTTTTGTGCTGGGTCTTGACCTGGAAAAAATAATGGTTTATTTATTACATTAAAAAATTGCTTTAAATAATTTAAATGTGTTTATCTCAAGTGATATAATTACACCTGTAACCGAACAATTTAAAACGCCAAACAAACAAAGAGATCAACCAGTAGGTGTCAATAAGATAATATGAGTAGAATTATCTAGTAATCAAGATTCGTCACAAGATCTAAGTGTCTTTAGGGGAGATACCAATATCTTTTTATTCTTCTTCTTTCCTCGAGCTCTTAATTTCAAATAGATGCTTGATAATTATTTTGTATTAACAGTAATTACTTCGCTTAGTAGTTTTATTTTTTTAAATTATTTACTTTATATTTTCAGTGAAATACACGTAGTTAAACAACTAATTTTATTTAACTCATTTACTACAAAAAAAACTCACTAATAATAACTAAACAACAAATATCTCATTAATAAATAATCGTGTATCGCTTTACTAAGTAAACACTTTGCTGATCACATAAAAACTGTCTCCTCAAAGGGACACCGTAGGCACGTCCCAGAGTTTTACTATAAGTATGTTTATGCTTGAGTGTGGTAAAGTGCAGTCTGGTGTCAAATGATAGCTTTTTCTGGTTCAGGTTATGGAGAGGTTTGGCAATCTTTCCAAAATCTTCCACGAAGCGACGATAGTAACTTCGGACATCGTGTTTGTTTCTTGGTGTGGGCTATTCTTGTATTGCTTTTATTTTTGCCGGGTATGTTGCAACTCCTGAGGATGAAATTACATGTCCAAGGAAACTTTTTCTTAGAAGAGCTCAGACTTCATTTACTTGTAGGTGAGCGTTCCTAAGCTTGGTGAAAAAATCATAATGGTATACCAGACAAGATTTCCATTTAAGTCCCCTAAGTACTAGCTCCATTAATCGTTCAAACGTGGCAGGTGCATTACAGAATACCACTTTAAATTGGTAGAGCTCATTTCCAGCAGAAAATCTCTTCTCTCTATCTTGAGCGTAGACTGCAACTTGATGGATGGAAAACCATTTCGATCCAGCCAAGGCACTAAGGATATCATCAATACGGGGCAGTGGATAGCTGTCTTTCTTGGTAACGCTATTTAATCTTCTGTAGTCGACACAGAACCTGGTGGAACCATCTTTTTTAGTTACGAACACCACTGGAAAAGACCAGGGGCTATTCGACTCTTTAATGACCTTCTCCTTCCGGATATTTTCAAGAATGGTAAAAGCTTCTCTTTATTTTGCAAATGGGAGATGTTTTGGTGCCTGCCTTATGGGGTTGAAGTTGTCAATGTTTATCCGATATTGGATTAGGTCAATGCGGCCAGTTATTTTTCCTGAAGATGTCACTTGTTTTTGATGAACTCTTCTGCTGTTTGGTATTCATCTTCGGATAGATGGCCTCATGACGTCTTTAGATTTTACAACAGTTCAGTGGAAAGTTGATGTGTACTGCTGTCTATTGGCACGTTTTCTTCTATTCTGGTCACTCTGACAACTGACATATTCCAAGTACTTGGCTTTTTTGAAGGTGATCTTGATGTCACTTGGGTTGGCCACCCTTACTGTGACTTCTGACAGCAATTGTTACGTTTTTTCTTGTGGGATCAGGATTAATTACTGAAGTACACGTAATGTCGGACAATTTTCAATTAAAGGTGACTAATCTACAAATTGAACTAAACGGTAGCGGTAACCATGCAAAATTTCATTAGTAAATTCTTACCGGGGTCATTTTTATTGTGTATGCTTCGCCCATGTAAATATGTAAATTTGTAACCCATCTAAGATAAATTTGCCCCCGTAACAATATAAATTGATGCGATTCACGAGTGTATAGTGAGACAAGTTCATATAATAGTTTGGAACATCGTTAAAATTATCAATATTTTGCTGGTCTATATATATTTACGTTTTTAGAAAGAATGTTAATTAGAGAAATTTGATATCTTAGTTTATTGAAGTTTATGAAATATGATATCTTCCAGATTTTACACATATGTACATAGGCGTAGTGTATTATTGGGAATATATTTATTAAATATACTTTATTATTAACTTTAAAATAGTTTTGAGGTAAGTAAAGTAAATTTGAGGCCAGTTTATTCTTTATATAGTATTAAACCCTTAACGGCCGCTCAATATACAAAGAGAAATTGGACAATTAATTTATTAGATTGGATTAAAAACACAAATTAGGAATAAATTACAACCAAAAAGATTTTTTTCTCATTTTTAAGGAAAACAGTACAATTTTTAATAAAGGAACATATTGTATCTTAAACGTAAATTAAATTTTAAAGTAAACATTTTCGAAATATTCGGGGTGTAGATGTATTCTACACTTTTTACATAAATAAATAGTATTACTTTTGTACATCCTACATTTTTGCACTATTGTCTCTTTTATAATGTGGCCAATATTGTCGAATCTGGTTTCATCTGGTAAAGCAAATTTAGATTGACGCCCATGTACAGACACTGATGTAGCGGTTTCTTCACTATTATAAATTAAAATTATAAATCTATGTCGGCTCATGCTTTCTCTTATAATATGCACTTCTTTATCCTCATCATTTGATGAGGATAAGGAAGTGCCTAAAAAGAGTGAAAAACTTCAATATATTACTTGCCTACATGGTTGGCTTTTATGTTGTCTAAATATCAATCAGACTGATGTTGAATTACTACTGAGCACGAAAGAATATCCGTTATTACAACTTGAGATAAATTTGGATTTACTATTTTTGCCCGTTTTTTTTTTGGACGTTTTATCTGTGGTTCAGAGGAATATCATAATCAGAATCGTTAGAATTCCCGGAGATGTTGAAGAAGAAGTACGACAGCAAAGCTTAAAAGCAAGTAAAGCGGCAGGTTCTCTTAATGACACAATCTGGAAGAACAAACACCTAAGACAAGACACAAAAACAAGAGTCTATAAAGCAGGAATTAGACCTATATTAACATACACGGCTGAGACAAGACCTGACACATCTAAAACGAGACGACTGCTAGAAAAAATAGAGATGAAAATACTCCGACGAATATCAAGGAGAAGTCTGTTGGATAGGAGAGAAGCAAAAACATAAGAAGAGCATGCAATATAGAAGACATAAATGGATGGGTGACAAAACGAAAACAAAAGTGGAACAAACACATCAGTAGAATGGCGGAGGATAGAATAGTACGAATAGCACGAGATAAGTCACCAAATGGACGAAGAAGTATTGGCAGACCAAGAAAAAGATGGTGCGACAATTTAAACAATTTAGAAGCTAATATTAAAGAAGAAACAGGCTTTTAAAGCCTACAAACTAGAAGGAAGAAGAAGAAGAAGATCAATGTCCTTCTACATCAGAAACTTTCTAATCTAATCGCGGCGGCAAATAAACCACATTAAGTGGCATTTTCACAATCTGAGTCTTCTTCTAACAAAGCTATTAACTCTTTAGTAATTAGTTCCACCTTCATTTCATATTTCGAAAATTTACTGAAACAAACAAATGCACTGCTATATAAACGTATTCATATGATAATAGTTTAGCTTACTTCATTTTAATTTTCTGTTTTTTGAAGTTCTGTATTATTTAGATACTCTCTAATAAGAATAAAATTTTATTTTATTTTGTTAAACAACTATAAGATACCTGTTAAAAGAGACATGACAATTTAATAATTAAATCGATCTTAGATTTAATTTTTACGTAATTACTTATGTGTTTAAATAAAGAATTAAATTTTTTTTGGTACGCCTCTGCAAAATTGATAATTTCAATACGATTTCGTTGAAAAGTTATCGTGAAGGGCTTCGTTAAGTACGATGTTGCCAAGTAATCACCTTCAATTAAAAATTGTTTTAGTATAGTTAAACTAATTTTATTTAACTCACTACCAAAAAACTCACTAATAATAGTAAATAAATAACAAATATCTCATGAATAAATGATCGTATATCGTCTCACAAGGACGCCGCAGCTGTTTTAAACACGCGTAGACATTGCCAGCGAAGGCATGAACGCCGAGTCAGCGCTTTTAACACGAAACTCCAGGAAAATATCGCGAGTAAAGCATTGATAAAGCGTCAGGTAGAATTTTCGAGATATTACAGGACCGTAATTACATCACATAACAATATTAAGAATTTTGTTTTGTTTTTCACCGAAATATTATTGAATTTTTTTAAATTTTTTTACACTTCTTCATTAAATGTGATTTAGCTTTGAATTTCTTTTCATGGTATTTGTTATATATTTTTAGATGGTAGGTATTTAGTGGCGGTTGGTACAAGGGAGGCATTATTTGGCCTCCAGGTATTACTACAAAAATGCCGAGATCAGCGAAAAGATGTGTTTCTCTGTTTTATCGACTACGAAAAAGCGTTGATCAAGTAAAACACAGAGAACTCATAGAAACCGTAACACAACATGGTATAGATTATAACACTATAGCACTTATTAAAAAACTATATTGGGATCAAATGGCGTCTATCAAAATAGAAAATCGTATTAAAAAACTATATTGGGATCAAATGGCGTCTATCAAAATAGAAAATCGTCTGACAGCAGAATTGCCAATAAAAAGAGGAGTTCGTCGGGGCTGTGTACTTTCTCCACTGTTATTTAATATATATTCCGAAAAAATCTTTCAAAATGCCCTCGAAAATATTGAAGAAGGAATAAAAATCAACGGAGAATACGTAAACAACTTAAGACACAACGTTTACAACGACTTTTAAATGTCATAACCAGAGAGGGAGATAGCTTGGGACTAAATATAAACACAAATAAAACAAAAGTAATGGCTGTTACACGTGCACCAAATATTTAGACATTAATATTCGTATCTATAACAAACATATAGAACAAACTATGTTGACCATGAGGTCGAAATACGTACTCGTATAGAATATGCTAGGTCCGCATTTCAACGAATGAAAAAATTCCTAATAAACTCTACGGTATCGTTGGATATCCGATACCAATTTGTAAAAACGTTTATAAATTCCATATTGCTATACGGAGTGGATCAGAGCACGTGACCAACAACGAGGTGCTAAGAAGAATGAGAAAGAACTCCTAAATATTGTAAAAAACAGAAAAACGAGTTATCTAGGACATATTTACAGAGGAGAAAGATACAACTTCCTACGACTTATAATGGAAAGAAGAAGAGGTCCAGGAAGAAGAAAATGCTCCTGGTTGAAGAATATAAGAGACTGGACAGGTATGAATACACAATATAGTATCGAATGTGTGTAACTAAGACATATTTAGTTCGGTTTAAATGGCTTTGTAAGTATCTTGAGCTTTATTTGCAACTTGGCACAGAGTAAATTAAGGTTTGAGCTTATGTCCACACCTGGTAGAATTTTACGGTTCTAATAATATTCTGGAATCCGTGGTTTATTAAAATGTAGTCTGTTTAGTTCCGTATTACTCTATTTTTGCTGTCCATGTTAAGGTGACTTCCACGTGTCTTTCTGGTAGTTGAAACCAGGTTTGTTACAACAAGACCAACTTCTTGACAGAATTTGTTTCTTTCTTGTTTTCAGAGCTTCATCTATTTGATGGTAGAACTTTTCAATTTCTTGTTTATTCTTATCTACGGTAGGAGCATAAAGTTGAATTCTTCTTCTTCAGTGCCTTATCCGTTTCGGATGTTGGCGATCATCAAGGCTATCATGGTTTTGTTGACTGCTCTGCAAAACAGCTCCGCAGAGGTCATCCCAAACCATTGTCGGAGGTTTTTAACCACGAGATACGACGGTGTCCCGATAATCTCATGCCAAATACCGAGTTGATAGCGAGAATAATATTTACAAAAAGTTGAATAATATTTACATTTATTGGTTTTGCATTTAACCTTCAACATTATTCTGTCTAACAGTAGGACAAAATTAGTGATATATTCTCTCTCCACTCTGTTTTCAGCGTAGTAGACGGCATATCCATCTGTTATCTAATTCACAGTGCTTGGCCATCTAGTTTCGCTCACTCCCATAATGCTGATATCTAGTATGTCCATACCAAGGAGAAGATTTCTTAATTTACCTGCGTCTTACAAGGTAGTTATATTCCAAACGGCTATCTTCAGTATATTCTTGATTCTCAGGACAAAATAAGTGATATATTCTCTCTCCACTCTGTTTTCAGCGTAGTAGACGGCATATCCATCTGTTATCTAATTCACAGTGCTTGGCCATCTAGTTTCGCTCACTCCCATAATGCTGATATCTAGTATGTCCATACCAAGGAGAAGATTTCTTAATTTACCTGCGTCTTACAAGGTAGTTATATTCCAAACGGCTATCTTCAGTATATTCTTGATGTTCACTTTTTTTGATTCTTCTTATAACTACTCGTGATAATTTATCTCTAGTCTTTCTCTAATCTTCAATCCCAGTCGATATGCTTTGCATTTAAATCTTAGCCTATGATAAATTTTTGCTCTAGTTGTTTAAACATGGAAACTCCTTTGCGCGCGGTGAGCATTTTTAAAATAATACGAATGAGATGTTTGCAGGACAAAGAGAAACAAGAAAAGCTCATATACCTCACTATGCAAAAAAGCTTTTATGGCAAATTTAAAAATAATTTTGTTTCTAATATTCTAATAAATAACTTTAGTATGGTTTAGTACTCTTTTTAGCATTAAACTGTAGTATTACTTAGTACTACTAAATCTTTTTTAGGTGTTGGCCTTGGCGAAATCGGTTAGTAAGACTTTTTACACTATACTTAGAATAATGGAGAATATTATTTTTAAATTAATACTAATATCATGAGCAATTTATGATTTAAATTAACTAAATTTAAGAATTTGTTTTACCTGTTGCTATAAATACAGCTGTCACAATATTAGCTGCGTGGGCATTAAAACCTCCAATACTTCCTGCTATAGCGGAGCCGACCATATTTTTGGAATAGTTGACATCTACTAAGCCACTAACTGTTGTTTTTAATACTGTGGTTACTATTTTAGCTGGAACCACCGCTTCACATACAACTGATTTACCTCTACCTTCAATCCTAAAAGAAAAATCATATCAGTTCGTAAATATATGCATCTATCATTAAAAAAAATCGTATACCTTTATAAATATACATTCTATTGATCGATTTCAAACAAACTTTTAAAGTAACGCCAGAAAGCCTCATAATTGCCTGGTTCTCATGGGTATATAAAAAAAACTAGTCAGATATATCCAACTTACTCTTACTAACACCAATGTAGCCGTAGTAATACAAAATTTACTGTAAAATTTAATATCAATAACAAAAACAAAAAGCGCACTTTTTGCGCTTAAAATACTATTAGAAAAATGCCGTGACCAAAGAAAAGATGTATTTGCATGTTTCGTGGACTTCGAAAAGGCATTCGATAAAGTACAGCATGTAAAATTTATGCAAATACTGAAAAATATCGGAATAGATGACAAGGATATTCGTGTCATTAAAAATTTGTACGGGAAAAAAATTTTAAATAACTACACCGATGAAATCCCCATACAACGATGAGTCAGACAAGGTTGCATTTTGTCGCCAACATAGTTCAATGTTTACTCGGACCAGTTATTTAAAAAGGCACTTGAGAGACAACCGTATGAAATAAAAATCAACGGGGAACTACTTAATGTGATTAGATATGCAGACGATACAGTAATTCTATCAGATAATATTGAAGATTTTCAAATTCTGCTTGATCGTATTCACAGGTAGGAGAGGAAATGGGCATTAAAATAAACTCAAACAAAACCAAATTTTTAGTGTTTAGTCGTGACCCACATCCCGATGCAAAGCTTCAATTGAACGGAGTCCAAGTTGAGAAAGTTCACAAAATGACATATTTGGGAACTGTGATAATGGACTAACTAGATCCAGACATAGAAATAAAACATAGAATAGCAATGACTAAAACTACTTTTATGAAAAGGAAGTCATTTCTTTGCAATAACCAGTTTAGTTTATAACCAAGACAAAGAATGGTTAAGTGCTATGTTTGGTCTGTACTTTTGTATAGTGCAGAAGTGTGGACGCTAAAAATATCGATCATGAACAAAATTAAAGCATTGGAAATGTGGGTTCATAGACGAATGCTGAAGATACCTTGGACAGCAAGAAAAACTAATGAAGAAGTACTAAGGAGTGTCAACAAAGACAGAGAACTGCTAAAGACAGTTAAACATCGAAAAATGTCTTATCTGGGACATATAGTAAGGACCGAAAAAGGTTCAACTATAACATGAGCTGCGCAGGGATGAATAGGAATAACTATTTGTTATAACACAATACGAAAATCTATACGAAAGACACAAATTTAAATCTAGGGTACATAAAAATTATCTTTTAGGTCTCTGTGTGGACAGGCCTACAGACCACTCGATCCCTTTACATACAATCTACAAGACAAGGAGACGTAACTCTATTGTCTAATCTCTTACTACATGTAGCTGGAATTATTATACAAGTCGTAAGGAGGCAACATCAGTCGAAAGAAATGTGAGTACTCTGGTTCACACCTTGGACCCAGACAGACATATCTGGACCAAGAAACCACAAGTTTAAGTCGTTCCAAACATATCTTCTATTAAGACCCACCTAAGGAAACAAAATTAAGACAATTAAGCAAGCAACTGGTCGTTGGGAAATCAGAAGATCAGGGAGGATCCACAAATCTTAGTCACCCATAATCAGGCATAAGACAAACTGTATTGGAAATGCACTGTAATACGAACAGGACTGTGGAAAACAAGCAAAAATCAGCTTATAGTCATAACAGGCGTATTTACTGGACATGCGCCCGTTAAGGGACACCTGCACACAATTTAGCTGTTTCATGGATTTTTAAAGCTGCAGATCCTGCAGCAGAGAACATGAAAGTCTTGCATGACTACCAATGAAAGATGTAGAATGAACCAACTGACTGTAGTAATGACTTGTAATAGACAACTTTCAAAAAACATATCTTCACAATTTCGAAAAGATAGTACCTATATACTTAGCATTCCTAATATCCAAAATAGTGATCATTACAAGTAAAGAGATAAAGATAAGTCTATATATATATATATATATATATATATATATATATATATATATATTATAAATATATATATATATATATATAATATATATATATATATATGTATATATATATATATTTATATATATATATATTTATATATATATATATATATATATGTATATATATATATATATATATATATATATATATATATATATATATATATATATATATATATATATAGTCCTAACTCACCATTTTAAGATACAATTGTAAAAAATCTAATAAAAGACAGACTATGATTGTGAAACATAGATTCTGTTGAAGCAAGGCAAAGATAACTTATAAAGATAAATATAAATATCATCTATTTTAATGGAAATAAGCCACAATTGAAGGTTTCCACTTCAATACAAACATTATTTAAAATTTCATTAATTAAGAACGATTTCCGAAGTGGAAATTGAAACGTCAATAAACTTTAACCTTCAATTGTGATTTATTCCCATTCAAATAGTATATACGTTAAAATGCTAGAAGAAAATTATTTATAAATTTGGCAATTAGGAACTGGAAAAGAGTCATCGTAGATAGAAAGGAATGGAGTACAATTATCGAAAAAGAAAACCCAAGAGAATTGTACAGCTAGAGGAAGCACTGTTTCCGAAATCAAATCAAACAACAGACATTTTTTTATTTATCTATATATAAATAAAATACTCTTACATTTTCAATCAACAAATGTTTATAAAATAAAAACTTACCAGTTGACAGCAGCAGGTTTCTTATCAGTGCAAAAGTTTCCACTGAGACTCAAAATCTCCATGTCGGGAAATTCATTTTGCACATATTTAAGAGAAATTTCAGTACCTTTGGAAAGCATGTTCATACCCATAGCATCTCCTGTTTTTGCTACAAATCGTATAAAAAGATATCTTCCTGCGATTCTAATCAAGATCTTCACCAATCTAGCAAATCTACTGCTGGAATCAAATTGTTCCTTCATGAGGGCAAAGTTTTCTGGTTTCTCGATCCATTTCATAGCAGCACTAAAAATATATGAAATGGTATGTTAAATATTTTATGATACATTTTTTTAATAGTGGTATATAGTAGTAGTTGTAGTAGTATACAGTATACCTTATTTAAGATGATATACCGGTACAAATTTTGAGCTAGAAATAACATTGTAAGGGTGAAAGTACGACTGATAGTTCACTTATAAAAAGTCACTTACGGAATGGATTCGCGGTGGTTACTTAATATAGCGGTACCTTGAGGTCGACAGACAAAGAGAATGGTTTTATTATACTCACAGAAGGAAAATGAACATCTTTAATAAACATAATAAGAATATTTTTGTGAATTATCCTAGAGTGAAACTGTAATATATATTGAAATTATTATAATAAACATTACAATACGACTGGTTATATGCTTGGTCTAGAGAATGTCAAACGTATAATCATATAAACATATAACTTTGCAGGAAGTGTTGAAAACTTAAAAAAGTTAACAAAAAGAACCACAACATATGCTTTTGAGTTATTTTATAAAAATTAATTTTAAGAATGGCTCGCAGGGCAAATGCGTTAATATCAGAGCAGCCAATAGTCAAAAGACTTAAGCACTACTTCGTGATAAATAACGATACTTGTATTCGGTATGCAAGTAACAAAAATAAGTTCTTTAATTCTTTAATTGTCTACTGAGCCTTACCTGGCCTTAGTTAGTGATGGAAATCGGACAACAGGGCCTCTAGTCATTCCATCTCCAACGATTCTTGAAGTGACTCCACATTGCTTTAAAGCTCTGCATCCTCTGTTGGTACTCGCCACTAGACACCCTTCAGTAGTAGCCATCGGAACATATAATTCTTGACCATCCAACAGTAAAGGTCCTGCATACCCTACAGGAATTGGCATGTAACCTATAACGTTCTCACAGCAGGCACCCATAACCTAAATAAAACAAATTAAAAATATTTCATTTTTGCCATATTAAATAATAATTTAACTACAGAAAGCGATTGTCAGGAAATCCGCTGAGATGTAAACTAGAAATGAACATCAACTAACTTGATCGAACGACTTTGGGAATTTGAAAAATACGAAAGTAAATATGCAGTATCAATATGCACAAAAAATCTAATTAATGATAAACAAGAACAAATTCAATAAGTCACCCAATAACATACAAGTTAGCGATGGAAATCTTATCTCGGATCCATTAGGAATCTTAGAATCATGGAAATCTTACCAGAAAAATTATTTGCACACTGATAATCAGATTATTGAAAAGAACAGCACCAAAACATAAATTATTTCTCTCAACACTCAAAAAAGCCAAAATCATAACACCGTTGTTGCGATGAAGAACAGAATTTTGCACATTAGCAAACCTTATACAACATAATTTTGAATAACGACTATCCTAGTAAAATCCCTACGTAAATGGTTTAACTAACAATATAATCAAGCTGCTGAGTGAAGCAAAAAATCGAAATAGCTAAATATCACAACATATCCAGTTACAGCTTATTCTTAAAGCTTAAAGATTATACACCGCTTCTAAATCAGAGTCATCTCATTTATTAACTTTCTTATCGAATGTAATGAGCAGTATATTGGGCAAACATCGTATTGGTTAAAACATAGAATAACGCAACACAACAGTGATTGCACACCATCCAACACAAATCTTGGATATAGAAAATAATTATAAAAAAAGTTAATTATTTCTCGAAATTTACCACATACACAAAAACCAAAAAGTAAATTAAGCGACACTTGCAAGTTAAGCAACATGTACTGTAATATTTCAAAATTCTGATAAACTAAAAAATATCTAACATGGTTCGATAATAAAACTCGTTGGGTCTAATAACACATGTGGAAAAAATACCTTAATCAGTGCCTTTTTGCTAATATAGATATATAAGAAAAATTAAATGATTTCATCTTATATTATATTTTGTATTTACCTTGCTGTAATCATAATTCTTGAAAGGTAAATCAAATAATGGATTCTTAAGGTTAGCATCTTTAGCCAGAATTTTCCTTCTAATCCTTACTCCTCTCTCAGGATTATCTACAGCCTTTTCAATTTGATATCCTGCAATATGTTTATTTTCTACAAGGAGTATAACTTCTGCATCAGTTAGTGTTCCCGCACCCAAGTCAGAATCATTGTATATGGATAAGCAATCTTCTAGGCTTCTACATAATTTAATATCATTAATGTCATCCTCTAGTAGCTGACCTGATTCAGTCTGACAGTAGATTGTCTGGACAGATTTATCTTCAACATCTGCATCTAAAAAATAATAATAACTTACTCATAAGTAAAAAATGTCTCATACTGACAATATAAGATAGCTGGTAAATGAATTCATAAATAAATTATATCTTACCACTAGATGAATCCGATTTTTCATCACTATCACTTCTACCTAAAAAGAATGTGTCGGATGTCCTGAATATAGGAGTTTGAGATAAATATTTGCTTTGTAGCTGTTGATTCAGCTTGAGGAACTCACTAGTGTTAGTGTCTGTTTCTAAATTTTCTGACATGGACGCTTTTATTTTCTCTGTGAAGTCTTCCTTATGATCAAAGAAGATAAATTTTACCACCAATGCCAGTAACAAGATTAGAATCACTATGTGATCAGCACTTAAGGTAATCCATCTAAAAAAGAATGAATTATTAATTTTTGAACAATATTTTTAAGAATGTTTATCATTTATCAAATGAGTCAAATTTAACCTGTTTCATATATCAACTAGTATAATTATAATATATTATTAAGAGGAACAACATTTATTAAAACCAATTATTAAGCCATATCCAAAGCGGTTTCAGAAAAGGCAGATCAACTCATGATGCCTTAGTAGCTATTGACAATATTATATGTGAGTCCTTTAGAAATAACCAGAAAGTAATTGCCATATTTTTTGATATAAATAAAGCATTTGATACTGCATGGAGATACAACATTTTACAAACCATGTCCAATTGGGGTATCCAGGGAAATTTTCTTGCTTTGTAAAACATTTCATGAATAATAGGATATTTCAAGTACGTGTAAATGGAATTACCTCAAAAACAGAATGTCTTGAAAACGGTATTCCACAGGGCTCAACCTTAAGTCCCACTTTATTCTTAATAGCAATTAATAATATAGCTCAAGAGATAAAGCTACCTTTGAAAGCAGGTCTGTATGCAGATGACTTAGTTGTATATACTAGTAGCTGCAATATTACACTAGCCTCAAACATTTTGCAATCATTTCTGCATAAACTAGAAGACTGGTCCCAAAAGACTGGTTTTACGTTCTCAGGTGATAAATCTCGTTTCATCGTATTCAATAAAAGAAAAACTGATTGCAAAACAACACTTACTCTAAATGGTATCAACCTAGAACAAGTAGAGAGCATTGACTTTCTTGGCCTAAGACTGGACAGTCAGTTAACATGGGCAGAACATATTAAAAAGCTAGTCGTATCCTGCCAATCTAAAATAAATCTCCTTAAAATGCTATCAAACCGATCTTGGGGAGCGGACACCATAAAATTGCTGCATATATACCAATCATTAACCCGAAGTAAACTAGATTATGGTGCAATATGCTATACAACTGCGAGTAATTATATACTTCAAAAACTAGACATTATACAAAACACATGTTTAAGACTAATTCTGGGTGCTTACCGAACTAGTCCTGTTTCAAGTTTTCAGGTTACCCTAAATGAAACTCCCCTATCAATACGAAGACAACACATTTCTTTAAATTATGCCGCGAGATTGTCTTCCAACCCTAATAACACAAACTATCCACTTCTTTATAAAATATATCCACCTACTTATTGCCATCAACAAATTAAATATCCACCCCTTAAAGAACGTCTAACGAGATACGGTTTTGACATGGAGCAGCTCACACATTCTTACCCTACACAACGAACTATACCTCCCTGGACTATTAATTTTCCCACTATTGATCTATCCCTCACGGCCTATCCAAAGAGTACCACAAATCCCATAATCATTAACAAATTATATCAAGAACGGATATTAGAATACACTGGCCATAACAAGATTTTTACCGATGCGTCAAGAACTGAAAACGGACACGCAGCGGCCTTTATTCTAGGAAAGTCTGAATATGCAGTTCGCATCCCTCAATTCTGCAGCATTTTCACGGGAGAAGCCATCGTCATTTTAAAGGCTTTAGACATGTGTAAGAGTCATGCAAGCTCAGATTTTCTTATCATTACTGACTCTTTATCTGTTCTTCAGAGCTTAAGGCAAATATATCCAGTACATGTTATCCTGCAACAAATACAATTAGCACTTTATCACCTACAAAACAGACACGTGAACGTTACATTTCTCTGGGTACCATCACATACAGGTATCGCAGGAAATGAAAAAGTAGATGAATTAGCAAAGAAAGCTGCTACTGACGAGCAAACTGAAATTATGACTACAATTCCATTCAGTGATATCCAGCTCAATATTAAACAGTACTGTGTAAAAAATTGGCAACAAATGTGGAATTCTACTAAGGCTAACCTTAAAAACGTGAAAACTAGGATTGGCACTAAACTACAATTTCCAGAAAACAGAAGGCAACAAGTGATTATAAACCGACTAAGAATTGGACACACAGCGTTAACTCACCAGCATCTCATAACAAAAGAACTACCACCTGAATGTTCCTATTGTGAATGTCCAATAACTGTTCAACATGTATTGATTGAATGTCCTCTTTATTCCTACGAAAGAGCCATCAACAACGTACCAGAAGAAGCAAAGAAACTTAAAGATATTTTAAACAGTAATGTATCTAATACAATCAAATTCCTTAAGGACATACGTTTACTACACAAAATTTAAGTTATATTATATGTATCTCTTTGTAATTTGTAAAAAAAAAAAAAAAACATTTTTAAATAAATATATATTTTGAAACTCTTGTGTCTAATATTTGATCAAGTGATTTATTATTGACTTTGTCGCCATTACTCCTTTATTAAATTAACAACATTTACCAACTTCGACTAACGACATGAAATACAAGATAACAATAAATACATCGTTACTTTGCAGTATATACAGTAAGTACTTTGCAGTACACTGTGCAGCATATAACAGCGGATTTCTATATTAAAAACTGATCACTATGTTATAATTATTATATTAATAAATTCAGCAGTATGTTCACTATAATTAAATAGAGCAGCAGTGTAAGTTTTTCATTAAAAATATTGCAAACCAACATAACATTCTGTCCGTCAATGTATGACAGATATATCGTTTTGTAATTTAAATTAGGAGCTACGTTAATTAATAAATTACCTTCAATATTCTAAATATAAACTGATACTGGCGTTTTCGGCTTCTGAATAACAAGGTAAAATGTTTTCAATTTGTGACCGAAGACTTAGTTTTGAAGCTGTTGGTAATATCCAACCTAATTCATCTTTTAATAATAATCTATGATTAATATAGACTTGAATTTCTATTGTTTTTTTAATTTTAATAATACTCCTGATTTCTAGTCCACCACACTCAAATTTCACGAGATATAAATAAATGTGATTTTCTTTTTGATGCCACTTCCATTTCACTAGATAAAAACTCAACGAAAACTTATAATTTTCACTGAAACTACAATAGTCCACGATCACATTACTCTGAAGCTTATTGGTGTTGCTGCCTATTTATAAATAATTCTCTCCTTTTCGTGGAACTGTTCATTTTATAACCACATTCTTGCTTTGTCAAATATTTTAGAAATCCTGGAAATATTTTTAGAACAGCAATTTTTCCAAGAGTAGGTCTTTTTCTTGGAAAAGTTTTTAACATGTTATGGACTGATGATTATGAGAGTCATGTTAAAATGTGTCTCTCTTGGAACGAAAATCGACCTCTTTCAGCATTTTAGAAAATCTAACGAATATTGCTAAATATAAGGGTGGACTGTATTCAGTAACCCATTCTTTTCTCATATTTTTTTTCAATGAGAGTTAATATGGAAAGAAAATATCTTTGTAATATGTCACACATTGTATATTATCTATTTAAAATTAAAGGGTGATATAATTGGAAGGGAGTGAGTTGACAAATGACAGATATTTGTATAATTCAAGTGGATTAATGGAATCCCATTTAGAATAAAAATCGATCTTTTGAAGTATTTTTGCAGGTTGGACACTTTTTGATGGTCCACTTCGTAGATATATATACAAGGTGGTCCAGAATTATGTACATTAATTTCTAGAGCTCATAGTACATCCAAAAATAAGGGTACTTCTTTATGTACACTTTTTTATAAAACTGAATAATAAGGGAGATACAACCCTTTAAAGGGGTGAATTGAAGTTCTTATTTTTTCAAATATCTTCCAAACGGTTTTGAATACGGAGTTCATATTTTGGGAGTGATTATAAGACATTAGGATAATTAATTTCATGTCACCACCTACCACACCCTATATTAATACAGGGTAGTTTTGGAGGGTAAGTGTGGGTTATTGCGTCACATGTTTTTTAATTTTTACATATTTTAAAAAAATATTTTAAAAATTGTTTCCTTAGACTTTTCTACGCAAAAAAGGTGCTCTTGTAATATTTCGATAGATATCACCGTTTTCGATTTATTTGAACTCGAAGGTATACATGTATTTTATTGTAATCGTTACATTTCTTAATATTCATCAAGTATGCTTTGGAATTGACACTTGTGTTAGCAACAAAACTTTAATCTCAAGTAGTCTATGAATTGTCAGTGACATTTAATAACAATTAAATTATTTTCTCTACACTTTTATTGTACTCGACAGTGAAATTTCTTTAACACGTCTCTTTTGCTATATTTTTAAATTTGTTTGCCCGCAATATGGCACACTATTCAAATTCTGAGATGGCAGACACACTTTTAGTATTATGGGAATGTTCGGGAAATGCTGCTGCCACTGTAAGACGCTACAGAGAAAAGTATCCGAACAGAAATATTCCAAATGCCAGGACTTTTGTAAGTAGGTACTGAACGACGACTGAGAGAAACCGGTTGTCTTCAAAGAAGGAATACAGATGCTGGTCATCGTAGAGAAGCAAGAAATGTTCGCGTTGAACAGCAAATATTGGATGCTGTAATAAATGACCCCACAATAAGTACACGCAGGTTAGGATTAAGAACGAATATTTCCCATCAAAGTGTTTTAAGAGTTCTGCATGAAGAGCAATTACATCCTTACCACTATCGACAGGTGTAGGAATTGTTACCTGGCGATATGTCACTTAGAGTTGATTTTTGTGAAATATTGTAAAATAAAGTTCAAACTGCACCAAGTTTTTTAAGCAACATTCTGTTTACAGACGAGGCCACATTTACAAGACAAGGTATGTTCAATTCTAGAAATATGCACTTCTGGGCTGAAGAAAATCCAAGGGCTACAATGGAAACTCACTTCCAACACAGGTTCAAGATAAATGTTAGGGCAGCTACTTTAGGAAATAGTTTCATAGGATACCACATATTTCCCAGAAATTTAAATGGTATAGATGGTATAGATACATTAAACATTTATTACAATTTTCTAGACAATATTTTACATGATATTTTAGAAGATATTCCATTACAAATACAAAGAAACATGTTTTTCATGCATGATGGTGCTACAC